GAAACGACCTCGAGCAAGCGAAACCTCTACAGACCTAGACCTAGCCATGGAACGCGATGCGGGGAGCAAAGCCTCCTCGTCGGAGTGCCAGGACCAAGTTACCAAGATACTGGCTAAAGACAGGCACCTTTATGAAGCCAAGATGACAATGTTTCAGGAGTGTGCTGCAGCAGTTGACAAGACACTCGAGAAAGCCGGAACCGAATTATACTCACATGCCAAGGAGTTCGGCGCCTTCTTCTCTAAATGCCTGAGCGAGTGGCTGGAAACCCGAGATTCGACTATAAGGAAGGCCACTTCCGGGGGGACGGGGAAGCCCACCATGACTTTTGCCCAAGCCGTCTCTTCTAGCCACCGATAGCATCCACTAACAGTCAAAACCACCATGAAGAGAGCACAGCCTGGCGCCCTCACCGGTGCCGACCAACTGAAGAAGAAGAAGCAGGAGGATCTCCGGGTCTTTGTCCGCATGGATAATAGCCACTTAGAGCCCTATGGGGTAAAGTCTATACTGAATAGAATACTTAAGCTCCACCCCCAGGAGCTTAGAGAGGTGACGCGGTGGCCCTCTGGATTTACCTTATACCCAAGGGATAAGCCAACTCAGGCTAAACTCATGGCCTTCCAAGAAGAGATCGCCAACATTCTTAAGGCGCAAAAGATCGAGACCTATACGGTCTGGCATCACTACAAGGTCGATGGATGCCCAAGGAAGGTCATAAGTGCGGAAAGGTTTACAATCGATATTACCGACACTGCTATCGCTGACGAAGTCAAAGCCTAAACAGGCGACAGACCTTTAAGGTGTATAATCTCAAGGAATACGGTTGATTCCGATCTGGAGACCATATGGCTGATCTCTCTGCCCCGTGCAGCAAAGAAACCATTCACGCTTTTTGCTCACTCGATGACCTCGAGGCATATTCAATACCCCCCCAAGGTTTACCAGTGTGCAAGCTGCTTTAGATACCATGGTAGGAACTACCAATGTGAAAAGCAAGTATGCACACGCTACGCCAGCGCGGTACACCAGGGGAAGTGCGAAATACCAATCCTAAAATGCGTTAATTGCAAGGGGCCCCATGCTGCCGACTTCGACAAATGCCTTGCACGCCCCGAGGTCGTGAAAGGTATTATCCACAAGCCCACATGGGAGCAAATCCAGGAAATAAGGCTGGCCGGAGAAAGAGCCAGATCCAGGGCCTTCAACGAAGCAGGCAGGACCCAAGCTGAGTCAATACCTAGCAACAGCAGCGAACACACCACAATGCAAGTCGATATGACAAATACAGCTGATCCCAGGGATGCCGACACCATTGTTGTTCGTCAATGCTAGGTACACCAAAGGAAAACATCGACATGGACATCTGGTCGTCCATTCCGTGAATGCGGCGGGGGGACAAAGGAGTGCCGGCCCTACGGAGTTGGCCATTAACCTGGCTGATTATAGAGGAGAGCAAGCAGACATCATTCTGATACAAGAGCCCTGGGTCGGCATACCACCAGGCAGGAGAATGGGAGTAAAAACGCACCTAAACTATGATATATATTCCCCGGTCGATTCCTGGGACAGCGACAAAATACCACCTAGATCTATCATCTATGTGAGAAAATACCTTCAAGCGGACCAACTTCGGTCCCTGGATCGTGTCGTTGGCTCGTAAAAGTATGAGACTTTGGGGCCTGCTTTCGGCGTCATCAGAGGCCAAGTGACCAACAGGTTGGATGAGAATAGAGGACACAGCGGCATTGATCATGATGACAAAGCTCAACTTCTGAATTTCTAAGCCGCTTATTAGTTGATGTGCGGATAGATCATCAACCATAATAGCGCGGTAGCCGCCGGTGGATCTTTATTCTAAATGGCCATGGCTCACACCATACGATTGAATTTATTCAATATTGCGAAGATCACGACATCATCCCTTTTGGCATGCCTCCAAACCTGACGCACCTGCTGCAGCGGCTAGACGTGGTAGTCTTCCAGCCGCTGAAGCATCATCACGCAAAGGCACTGGACTTAATGGTCCGTGATGGCCTGGTGAACATCACGAAGCTTAAGTTCCTTAGCTGTATTCAGCAGGTCCGCCAGCAAGCATTCAAGTCTAGTACCACTCTCTCTGCCTTCCAGAAGACTGGTATCTGGCCATATAACCCGTTGCCGGTGCTTAAAAGCCTAGAAGAACGACAGCCGAAAAGGACACCTACTCCCCCTACCTTGGCAGGTTCCTTGCCATTTGGCACGCCAATGACCTTGCGTCAGATCAACAAGGTGGCTAATAAGCTAGACATAACGTTAAAAAGCAACGAAAGTCTTGATCCTAAGTTTGCTGCCAATATTGGCCACTTTATCAAAGGGTCTCTAATACCATCCCCCACCCCCTAACGGGACACACCCCCCACCGGGACAGCCAAACCCCACAACCACCACCAAAAGTCCCCTACCTCACTTACACGGATTACAGCCCCCTTTGAGGCTATCTATACGCTCTTTAGATGGTTAGATAGCCCTTTTTTGGTATTTAGCCGGATATAGATTAGTGAAATTTCAGCCATCGGCATCAGTGATTAGGAGCCTCCGTGCCCCGCCCCTAAATGCAAATTTGCTGTAGAATTCTCTCTCTGAGCCCCTGACCCTTATGCCACCACAGCATCGTGAAGCCAGCCACGATGCCTCCGCCCACGTACACTAAAGATAATATGGCGGATGCCTGGCTAGATGTGACAGATAACGGCATGTCTGTGAAAAAAGCCGCCCAAAAACACGGCATCCCTAAGCAAACGCTGTCAGCACGCATCAACGGCAGAGTCACCCGAGCCGAGGCCCAGGTTAGCAAGCAGAGACTCTCCCCTCAACAAGAGAGTAAGGTGGCTCAATGGATATTGCGCCAGGAGTCCCTAGGGCTTGCCCCTTCTCACACAGCCGTGCAGGAGATTATTGTACAACTGCTGAAAAAGGGGGGGGATTTCGCACTACTGGGCCCGAATTATATGGAGGGCTATAAACGCCGTAACCCTACCATCCAGACTAAAATCGGTAAGCGGATGGAATCCGCTCGGTTTAAGGGGTTCACCCCTAAGTCTGTCAACTGGTTCTTTGACATATTGGGGGATTATCAATGGGTAAAGCCAGAAAACACGTACAATGTCGATAAGGGCGGCATCATGTCGGGTTTTGGTTAGTCTTTTAACCCCCTATTCACCCCTATCCTGTCAGTTAACTAGCTAACCCCTATAGGCATCGATTCCCTAGTCTTAGGAAGTTCTGAGACTACGAAAGCCTCCCTAAAGAGTCCCCAGGGGCGTGGCTGGACCTCCTTTATCGAAGCCATCTCAGCCACGGGAAAAGTTCTCAAACCAGGCATAATTTTCAAAAGAAAAGATCTCCAGGTCCAATGGTTCATCAAAGAATTCCGCAAAATCGCGGGTTGGTACTACATAACGTCAGATAACGGCTGGACCAGTAACGAGATTGCGTGCCTATGGTTAGACCACGTTTTCCTACCCCAGGTGGATGCTGTACGAGGGGAAGACCAGGCAGAGCCGATCCTTTTGATACTAGATGGCCATGGTAGCCATACTTCCGTACGTTATTTATTTTTCAGGGGTTGTTTAATCAGTTAACTAACTGTATAATTAACAGGACGAGTTCATGTTACGGTGTTATTTTGCCAACATCTTGCTTTGTTTTTTCCCAGCCCATACCAGCCACGGCATGCAACCACTAGATAACGGACCATATAACGCGCTCAAAGCCTACTACCAGAGATTTCTTTCGCAATTAAATTCTCTCATAGATGCCTCGCCCGTGGATAAGATCAACTTTATCCGCTGTTATTCTCAGGCTAGGGACAAGGCTTTTTCTAAGCCAAATATCCTCTCGGGCTTCCGAGTGACGGGGTGCTACCCAGTTAGCCGCAAGAAGTGTTTGAAACACCCAGAAAGCCAGGAGGATAAAAAAAAGACCCCGGAGCCAGAGGAAGTTGAAAACTCGGAGCCAGAAGACCAGCAGGCCCCTACCACAAGCCGACAGATCATAGATTTCGCAAAGAACTGCTCTCCAGCCACTCGGCTGAAATTCAGGAAGATCTCCCACGCCTTCGAGAACCAGGAGACGGAGCTGGCCCTAAAAGATCATAAGATCAAGGCCCTGGAGGCTGAACTAGAGCGGCTACGGCCCAAGAAGAGGAAAAAGGTCCCAAATCCGAACCGGAAGTTCATGAATATGACCGAGATATTGGCCCAGGGGGGTGACCCATTAAGGGCCGTAATTATAGAGTCTTCACAGTCAGAAGCAGAGCCAGAGGTTGTTGAAGATGAGGGTGAGGAGGAGGAAGAGGTTGAGGAGGCTGAGGAGGGTGAAGAAGCCCCTATTGCAGAGCCCCAGGTGACGAGAAGCGGTCGGTCAATTAGGGCGCCAGCTAGATACGTGGATTAAGGAGCCTCAACACCACAGAATGATAATTTTGTTGATTTCTTTGGGCATCTACAGCCTTAATTGCGTGTAAGTGAGTAAGGGGGTATTTTGGTGGTGATGGTGGGGTTTGGCTGTCCCGGTAGGGGGTGTGTCCCGTTAGGGGGTGGGGCATGGTAAGTGCCACAGAACTGGTCCAGACTAAAAGGGATCTGGGGAGACTAAACATGCTAAGCGCGTTCAAAAACAACGCCGGGCTACCAAGAATACTCCATTGAAGTCAAGAGGGGTGTTGACAGTAGCTGATGGCCGGCAGATGGTCCAGCAGAAGGAAGAAGACCAGATAGTCAAGGCGAGGAAGATGGTTGAAGCAGCAGATCTAAGGGCTCGCACTGCTGCAAAACGCTGTATTGGGAGGCACGACAATGGCTGATGGTGAAACTGGTGATGTATTATTATTGTGCGTTCCAAGGCGGCAGCGCAGAAGGGCTGGATAGCTATGGCTACGTGTCCAAGGCTGCCGGGCAGCCGGTGGCACCTGCCAACACTTACATCCGTACCTTGATGGCTTTCGTCTTTTCATTGATTAACACCACCAATCTTGCCTTAGATCTTGGAACATAGCACCTCGATCTTTGTACCTGATCTCAATGCTAGTGCGTTTCTCGACCCTCATCATGCCTTCAGTAATGATGTTGTCTCGGCTACTGGTGGGGCTGAGGGATGGGCTGTTGAGTCCGTTGAAACGAAGTGGCCGGCTCCGGCCATCCTGGTCCTGCTTGGCGGCCTTGGTCGGTTGTAGGCAAATTGAGACAGAGTGGTCACCGCTACTGATATCTCTGAAGCACGGGAGCTTGGCCATTAATGGACGTAGAGCCGTGAGTGCCGTCGCAAAGATACTAATGCCGATCTCAACGATAGAGCTAGACCCAGAGACGTCAGCAGCCGTGCAGGGGCGCAGGCCTTCGTAGGGTCCAATATACCAGATGGTTCCCTGGAGGGTTTTCTCAATAACCTCCTGACTCGCAAGGCCTGCCGATGTCGAGATTTGTACCACTTCAACAACGTATCTCAGGCGGATGATAATCGCGACAGAGCTCCTACACCGAAGTTAAACACTGGCTCTGCAGTATCCTTTTGATAGTCCCTAACTCACAATGCACCAAGACCGAGGAGTACCATAACAGAGAGTTTAAGCCTCCATGCTATCTTGGCTCCATACAGCATCCAGATGGGCAAAAGCTAGAGGTGATAGTCAGTTACATGCCAGATCATGGTTCGATAATATATCTACTAACTGCATAGAGCCAGCTGATGGCTACATCCATAACCGATAATACAATCCCTGCGTTTCCAATCATAATCGTTGGCAAGCAGGTACCCTTGCCGACTCCCTATGCTACCGAGAGCGGACGGCATTGCAGGCCAAAGACCAGGGCTGTACCAAGGGACCATATACTCACAATAACCATGGAGGTCCAAAGAATCACATGTAGGACACCCTTATCGGATTGGTCTGTAAGTCGTAGCAAGACCAGTCCTATACCGAGCTTCGATATGCCAGTCACGAGGATGTACACAACCTGTGCGATAGTGAAATACTAGTAAATGCATGTTATTAGGACTTGCTTGATCTAGACCGCCAGCCCGGCTCGTTTAGGGCGCTTATCATTGCTGCCTCTGTTAGATCAAAGCCTGGCTCCGTGGTCGTCGCACCGATTCCGAAGCTGATAGAAGCAAGCTCCATTGCGCCCATGACGAGGAAGCCTGCCTGTGGCCCAGTCAGTAATTGACCGTGCCTAGTGAGAAGATATGCCCACCAAGGAAACCGCCATGGCTTGGTCATCATAGCCAGTAGATTTCCGAGTGTGGCGAGCCCAAAACCGGAGGGCCACGGCGATGCTATCAATCACAAAAAACGCGAGGATAAGCGGATAGTAATTGTCGCGTGTGCCCATGCTACGTGCTGTGGTGATGCCGGTCGAATGATGGAGTGGTAGGAGGGAGTGTATAGAACGGATAGAGTAGACAAAGAGGAGCGATTCGCGAACCTTTTAATGTCGAGCACAACCCAGACTGCTGCTGGAGCTTTCGTTCGTGGATAGGGGCTCAAGTCTAAGTGAAAGAGTAAAAGAGCCGGGGACTAAAGAACCAGTCTCGACTCCTCTGCATCCCTTAAGGGGGGGGGGGTTGGGAGCTGCCAGCATTAGAACTCCACGCCGTCACCACACCCCTGCTGTATCAATGATAGGATTCTTCCGGCGAACATTAGTTACGCAGTAAAAGCTGCATTAGTGTGATCACCATGTCCCGTATGATTAGTTGAATTAAGATTCACAAATTTATATGTTTATACCGGTGTATGTCCCCAATAACCTGTATGACTGCAAGGTGCCCCGGTCATTTCATAGCTTTGCCAGGGGTGCCGTCTCTTGTACGGGGAGCCGTTTCCATCATACTGTAAGCTCGGAAATGGCCTCTTATGCAAAGACGGCAGCTTTGTGGCAGGGGCTAGGTCTGGTATGATGCCTGCCACATCCCGTTTGAGGAGCGCATGAGACGTACCGTTCCTGCGCTACCCGAGTAGACAAACGAATTTATACTTAGAAGGATATAGCAGTGGAGGGAATTAATTAGTCTTGAATAGCCTCTCCCTTTGTGCGTTGCTTTCTTCTTCTTATTATCATACTAATACGAGACAAAATGTCAAAAGTCTCTATCAATCAAGACCTCCCCTTACGGCCTGAGGACATATCGTCCGAGTGGCTTAGCAGCGTCTTAGGCTGCATAGTAGAGTCTTTTACTATGACGTTTACTACGCTAAACGCAACTACGGGAAAGGTTTTCGTGACCATCTCTTACAAGCACACTGTAGAGACAGACCGGCCAACACACGTCTGCCTCAAGGGCTCTTTCAACCCCTCCATGATGGCCCTGGAAGGGTATCGCGAGCTTTTGCTAGCTATGTATACCCGTGAGGTCGAATTTTTCAACCAGATAGCACCCCGAATTCCAGCTATCAAGCTCCCCAAGGTTTGGCGTGCCTTGGCCAGCACCCATCAGGGCTTACTCGTCATGGACGATCTCTACCAGATGGGCTATACCTTTGGAGAGCCTGCCATTCCATGGGCCGTTGACAAAGTCGTTGCGGGTGTCGAACAGCTTGCCGTTCTTCATGCCGGTGAGAATATCCTCTCCTTCCTCCAACCGTACACCGTTGCTAGGCATGGCTTGCTGCCTTAAAACGTGTTTATATTAATAATTGCTAATAACAGGGACTGTATAGCGACTTGGAATACGACTGAGTACCCGTGGCTCACGCCCTCATACGAAGAGGTCATGATCGGCCTGGCAGACCAGTGGGAAAACGTGGTACTAGGAGCCGACCGCCCACCGATTCCCGACATGATTCAGAACAAGGATCGGACGGTGGCAGCCATGAGGAAGCACTTCGCTACCAAGAACTCGAAGTTTCTTTGCGTAGTACACGGCGACCCACACCTCGGCAATACCTTTCTCGATCGGGAGGGCCAGCCCGGCTTCCTCGACTGGCAGACGGCCCATATCGGCTCTGCTTTTCACGACGTCGCATATTTTGTGATCGGGTCCCTGTCTATCGACGACAGGCAGGAGCACGAGATAGCCATCCTCGAACGCTATCTTGCGCAGCTGGCTCGATTGGGCTGTTCGCGCTTGTCAGCGCAGGAGGAAGACGTCTTGACAGAATACAAGAAGTCCATGATGGCCGGTATGGGGTGGGTTCTCACGCCTTTCGCCATATAACCAAAAAGCCGCGTACTCCCCATGGTGCAGCGCTACGGTGCGGCTTTGGAGGACCATCGGGTCATTGAACTGGTGGAGTCGTTCCCTGAGCCGCAGGGGCCGTGCCTGGAGTCGACGATAGAGAAAGTAGCATAATCGGGTTGTGTGGAGCCTATAACAGCAACCGCTCTGATGTCTGCCTAGGTTACTGACTCCATTATTGCTGGTCTCAGCCGAGGGGTTTGCACACGCCTGGGTCTCTTGAATAGGTTGAACTATAACGAAAAAGCATTTACTAGTCATTTGACATGTCCACCAAGGCAATCCAGTTAAGAGTACATGCTCGAGTTCTAAAGTGCTACCTCTTTCTCACTAATGTAATTATGAAAGCCTGGCTAAGCAAAGCGGTTTTATTGTCGCAAGATAGGATACCTCTGGCTCTGCTGATCGCGCCCAAGCCGAGGATTCCTATATGCAGGGCTGTCTCGAGCTTCCATATAAAGCTGCACATTCTTGCTAGCTGTAAGGGGCATTTCTACTCTTACTAGGGGTAGTTCACCTGACATGGCCGATAAGCCTTGCTTCATAAGGTAATGCTAGTATTGGGTCGTTCCGCACACTATCGGGTCGAAGCTCACCCTAGCATTGATCTGTTTAATAAGCGCTCTAACTACTAGCTACAAGGTAACCAACATAGTATGTCCCTGACCAAAAATAAGTATATATAAAGACCTCACTGGTCTAAGCATAGCACCGAGTTGTCCTTTGCCTAGATGCCCCGGGAGCGCCATGAGGCTGTCGATATCTATGCAAGTTATTTAGATACGGCATGGGAAACCGCATCCGTTATCAAAATTCGGTAACATTGCAGTGCGGCTATGTTTATACCAGCCAAGAACAATCCTGCGACGCCGTTAAAAACCCTCCAATCTATCTAACCTGTTACAATTGGCTTGTCTGCATAACAATAGCAAGCACACTGCGCATTGGCGCGTCTCGACATTTCAAGACTATCCTCTATTAATACGCTCCGGGCACATTTAGAGTGTATGGACGATATCGACCTTCCGTTACTTTCTGATCAGCCGGTCTGCTTGCCATTCGACCAAATCACGGCCAGCAAAGCTTTACTCGATTCTCCGACCTTTGTCCCACCGTCGCACCCTCCTTCGCCAGGAACCTTGTATCCCGCACTATATCACCAGTAGTTATTTTCTGTAAAGTCTATATACACGCCCACCAATACTTCCTGCGATAGTACGTGATCTAACTCATATAAGAAGATGGATCGTTCCAAGCTTCTTCTCATCACTCATTAACCCCGTACCTACCCATCATGGCAGTCAGGGTGCTGTGACAACTCTCAGTCGGAACCAAGAGGGCCGCCAGATCCGTTCGGAAGAACAGGCCCCAGTTGATGAGCAAGATGGCGATGAAGATGGTCATGGCAAGCCACTCGCTCATCCAGATATAACGGTGGCTGCTTCCGGCAATTTCAGATGTGACCATCCGGATTGCCTGAGGATGCGGAAGAGAGCTTTCCAGAGGCACGAACACCTGTAACGACATAAATTGACGTAAGTATGAACACAGTCATACCACCCGGACCTGGTTGACAGTGTCGTTAGCGTCCACGAGGAAAAGGTCCCAGTCGCTTGTCCATTTTGCAGTCAGGCTTGCAACCAAACAGACAATTGGCGACAGCACCTCAAGCTACATTGCAGACAAGGGGGCACGAATGCCCGGGTCCCATTTCACCATGAAGCCCCGGGATTCCTGGCAGCCGAGATGACAAAGATCGCATGACACCGTCCACATGGCCACAAGGGGGCAAAAGGGTAAAGGGCAATGCCGATGGTTCCTGGGACCGCAAAAGATCATCGCCTCAATTAGAATTACACGAAACCGCCGATAATTGAGGAGAGGGTGGAGATTGGAAGAGGATAGTGTGGGGCGAGCAAGGGGGGGCCGGGGGAGAAGGGGTGGTATAATAATCAGAGCTGCGGATTAATAATCAAAAGACCCCTACCACCAGTGAGCATATAAGAGAGCGCATTTCCCGCCTGTTATGAACCTCGGTTTGGCTCAGCAGGGCAATTCCCTCTATAGGAGTCCTGTTCGAGTCTTTTCCTCCTCCTCCTCCTCCTCTTCTTATGATAGGAGTTGAGGAGTTGAGGAGTTCATCCTGTGCTCCAGCATCGGGGTCTGTTCGAGGCATCTCCAGACCCGTGACTATTGAGTTTCTTGCTCCAATACTGCTATCTGTTCGAGCCGTCTCCAGATCCGTGACTGTCGAGCGTCATGCTCCAGCACCGCTATCTGTTCGAGCCGTCTCCAGATCCGTGACTGTCGAGCGTCATGCTCCGGCACCGAGGTCTGTTCGAGGCATCTCCAGACCTGTGACTGTCGAGTCTCTTGCTCCAGGACCGAGGTCTGTCTGAGGTACCTCCAGATCCGTGACTGCCGGGCCCAATGCTGCAGTCGCAGGCGGCAGATGTTCCTCTCCATACCCGGAGCCTTTCTGGCATCAATCAAGTGGTTGACCCAGTAGACACAGCAGTATCTTATCGCCGCCAGTGGGTCTGGGTTAGGTCTCCGTCAAGGGACATCCTCAATAGGGAAGCCCAGGTCGTGCAGTCCGTATATGTCACGTTTCAGTGTCTGGGATATGGCCTCGATCGACCTGGAGAAGATTTGGCCATGGACGGCTACAACCCACCCACACAGAGCACAAAGGTCGACTCCGGAGCAACTGCGTCGGGCTGCAACCGTTGACGCACCACCAGAATTGCTGTGGGGAGATTCGGCAGGCGCAGCAGAGAGAGGGTGGTGAGTTGGGTCCTAAAAGCTGGAGTTGAAATTGAAAGCTGGGTGAGGCCCGAAGGAGAAGAGTAGTCTAATGGATGGAATAACGTGCTTGAGGCGGCGCCATCGCGGCCTGGGCTTTCATATTCATTGGGTGGGCATTGAAGGTCGATGGTTTGCGTTCTCAGTGGAGCTCGTGAAGGTCGTTGCGTGCTTTGGGGTGGTGGGTTTGTCAGATGAGTCAAGAAAGGAGGAGCTGGGAAGCTGGTGCCGAGAGCTGTTGGAGGTCGGGGTTGGGCGTTTCACCCAATCATTGGAATGATGCTACTACGCTCTTCCTGTTCACCGTCTGGGTGTGTATATCCTGCCATACGGGCGGACTGCGCTGGCATATTCGTATTGATGAATGCATTCTGGTTCACCATAGAGTTACTTCAAGTGCAAAGGTGGTTGGTACTACCATCGCCAGTATGGTCGTATTAGGAATGAAGTAGCGCTGTATTTCTGAATTGTAGAATCGAGACGTGTCGTTTGACATATTATCCCTGAATCCAGGTCACGAAGTCGTTCCGCCCTTCGCGCTAGTATCGGCGAGCTCTGGAAACTGTTCCGTGCCCACGAGTTCTGGATGGTGAGCCTCCAGTTCGCTGACTTGAGTATTGTCCAGCTCCTGCGGTTTGAGTTGTGGAATGCAGTCAGAATGTAGTTGTGGCTTATCGTGGTAGTCCCCGGCCCTTGTGGTCTCCCGCTGCCGCTTTCGTCTCCTGTGCCATATGAATAGGGGTAACAGAACTAGCAACAATATACCGGTTGCTGAGCCAACTGCTGGTCCAGCGATCCATGCCTTGCTCCTGGAATCGCTTGTGGAGGCTGGTACGTCAGTTGTGGGTGTAGGCATTGTTATTACAGATGCTGCAGCATACGGGTCAGTCTCGTATACTCTAATGCAGGTAGGTATATCGTACGCTGGCTCGAGCTCGACGTAGTGGCGACCAGACCGCCGCTCAGCGCCGTCGTCACAGTGAGCGTAAGTGAATGATCAGCCACCGTCGCCGTAAGTGTGGCAGTGACCTTCTCGGGTATCTCGTACCCCGCCGCCTCGCAGTAACCGACATACTCGTGGAATTTTGAAGACAGATTGAACTCATTTGCCATGCCGTTCTCTGCATTGATAATTAAGCAAACCTCGCACGCATTGTAGGCGTCGACGAAGCGGCTCCCTGGCCCGTATTCCTCTTTGGCGTTGCCGACGCTCAGGGTATACGCATTTGCATTTTCTTTGACGCTTAGTTACTTATCAGGACAGCAGACGTAGTGCATCGGTTTACTTACGACATGGGACATAGCATTGGGAGACATCATCTGGGTCCCGTGGGATGAGAAATGAGAGAAACCTCATGAAGCCCATAGCGGAATGCAAAGACGCGACTGATTACACAGCAGCCCGACAAGAAGAGAGATACGAAGGAAAAGAAAACATAGGAAGGCCAGTAATCGAAAACCTGTATATGTGGACCCCTCCCGACCTCTGACCCGGATAGGAAAGTGGTACATATTGATTGAATGTCAGCGTGAGCCGCAGACTGCATGCAGTATCTCACTCCATTGGCCAAAGATCCGCCGGCCAGATCAGCCAAATGACACAACCCCAGCTCACCTGTCGGCTAGCCACCTGCGTAACTCGAGTCAAAGTGCCACGCACAAGTAGTGTTGACTGCCTATGTAGGTTCTGCATGGGGTCCGTTGTCCTAAGGCTCATTGGGGGTTGGTCAGGTCAGCTGAATGTCAAATCCTGAAATAATGTGCTCCGGGCTCGACACTAACAGGAATAAGCAGAATATTCTGCGAACGACGAGATGCGTCGCTTTATGCCTTGAAAAGACTTTGTCTGAAATATACTGTAACAGTAAAGGGTAGGCGCTAACAACAGTTGGTTACGTCACTAACGCTTTTAAACTATAACACTATAAGTTAGCCAGCCACGCGTTAGTTATCAAATATCCGCTAGTTATTAAACATCCGTTGGCTGTTAAGAACCGTTAGCTATATATATACCGCTTATAACAATATTATATCTGTTATATGCATATATTTAGCTTAATTACATATATTTCGGGAAGTTTTTAGCACGAAAAATAATTTTTCTTTCTTAAGTTTTTTATGTATAAGAAGTTTTTGGTTTTTTGATATTTGTCACGGCGAGCGTACTGGGGTGCTGGGACATGGCCTGCAGCAAGCAGCTATTACTCTATTAACGAGAATATCAAGACTAGAGAGGAAAGGAAGAGAGAGAGATAGGTACAGCGGGAGGTGTTGAATGGGAGCCGGAAATAGACACCGGAAGATCTCCAGTGGGGCAGAGACGCACAGGGCATCTGACCCACCAAGAAGACAGATGATCAATCTCTGTACGCTGAAGAAGCAGAGAAGAACAAGCACAAAAACAGAAGACACTTGACAACCTGGATAATCTGAACTCGCTTGCATCTGACAGTAGTATACCGTATCGGTACAGTGGGGTGACAAAAAAACCGCACACCCCACCCAATTGATATAGTGACCACAATCGACCACCCGACTTCGCGATGTCACAACTATCGCAATCCTGCGTCGCATCCTTAGCAAGTTGAGGAATATGTACATGAAGATTTAGTTTATTTTTCGAAATTTTTAATACTTGGTATACCACCCCTTCGCTTCGATGATCGCCGCGATCCGCTTCGGCATCGAATCTATCAGCCTATTAATCATGGCAACTTTAACCTCTTCCCACGCCCTCTCCGCGGCATCTATTAAACGGTCCATTGAGTCAGCGTTAACCGGCAGCTCTCAAAGCTCGGGATTATCTTTGCAAATTTTCTGTTTGAGCCACGCCCAGAGATCTTCGATGGGGTTGAGATCAGGGGAGTAAGGGGGCCACTCTAACACAAGGAACCCGAACTCTCGGAGCCACTCCTTCAGCAACTTTGAGGTGTGAATGGGTGCATTATCCTGCATACCTAAAAAACAAAGTACTTTATATTGTTTTTCCTATACAAATCCGCTAGTCGACTGGCAGATTACTTTAATCTTGTCTGATGATTTCTCTGAACTTAATCGTTATATTTAGAGTAGATTGTCTTGTTTCTAGAATGTCTGCTGTTAGGCCCGGTGGCCGAAATGTCCTAATGGTCTCGCTATAAGTGTATGACCATCATGGCACTGCCACCTCCTAACAACCCCCTGTGGATTACGACAAATCCACCCCTCTTCACGTCGGCACCCATCCCCCAACGTTAATCTCCAAGCGTACAGGATCAAACCCAGAAACCACCCCGGCATTGTTTGTTCCATTTACATTTATATCGTCATATGCGAACCCATACCCCTTTCCATCCGCTAGAAGCTCATGAATAATACGACTATAATGATTTGTAGGATTTTTGTCGTAGTATAGACTGCGGTTGGCAGACGGCTGTATGCTCCCACCAGGTGTTAGTAGCGTACTGCGGGTAAATACTGCATACAGAATAGGCACCATCGCCCGGTGGACGGCGTTGTCCTCTTCCAAAATGGCAAACGGCCCCGTATTGCAGCCCCAGATGTCTGCCTCGTTCGGTCGAGCATGGCCGCGGTTATCGCCGTCGTAGTAGAGTATGTTGTCCGTCACGCGGCAGACCACCATATTACCGTCACTCTGAGTCCTAACTTTGAGATCTTTATTGTGATACTTTCCCCAAACTTTGTTAGTATAATCCACATAATAGCTCTTTAAGAAGGCGGAATTTATTGTGCTATATATGTTCAGCGATAGTACCCTTAATGCCCAGTTACCTGCAACAGTAGTGCACAAGGTGGTCCATGCTATGCCTTCTTCTATGGCCTGCTGGTGAAGCGCTTGGCAAATACGTGAGACAGAATCAACTGGGAGGCCTGCTACTGTTTGAACCGTACCATCAGCAAGGGTTAGCGACATGCCCAAGAGAAGTCCAACAAAGTCAACAAACGATAAGTTAGCATATATTCTTCCATTTAAAGTATAGATAAGCTCTAAAAATCCCCAGTCTATGTCGACAGAGGCAAACTCGGGGTTTGAGACGGTGGGTTCGATCAGATGGAGGGTTCCTGCTTTGTCAGTGTATACATAAAATTCAAGCTCGGTTGTGGACACCCAAACACGGTCAGAGACGAGATAGTCAGGGAGAGTAACTGCTGTATTAGAAATCCCTGTCTTGATCGGTATAGTTATAGACAAAGGGTCAACTCGATGCGAACCTGTTCCTGGCAGAGCCCTAGGCCAGTACCATGTCCCATTCGGACGTAAGAAAACCATAAACTCGAAGCGATCGCTTCCAGTGACGTACACAAAGGGCGAGCTCTCGTGTAGACTGGTTTGAAATGATAATGTTAGTGGCTTAAGCGAAATGTTCTCGCTGCGACGAGCTGGATACGGTGCGGTTGGAGAGGTCTTAGGCATAGAGGTGCTTGTGACCCAATAACTGGGTTGAATGCCCGTTATTACTGTGAAAATAACAGTATTCGCTAATAGTCTCTTTGTAAAGGACGGTAGATGCATAGCAAATGACGTTATACGGCATCGGAGTTGACGACAAGTTGAGGCTTCCCAGACAGTGGCAAAGGTAAGGGAGAAAGATTGGCAAAATCGAATCGCCTCGAGAATATACAGGGCAGTACGCTTAACCACGGTATAATTACAAGTGTGCTTAGCAGGCGACAACTTTATCTACTTTTACATACAAGCTACAAAACTTAGGACTGCGCAACAAGCTGACCTACAGCTTAACACTTGCGCGGATCCTTCCGTTATGGGACTAAATGGCGGCAAATGGCCTAGAGTGACTTTTATGTCAAGAATCGGATCCTATGAGCAGTCGGATGATTATATGGGGGCCGTGTTGGATCTATGCAATTCCAGCCTGTAAACCATCTATACCAAGACCCACATGTATGATTAGATAAGAGATAGATACCGGATTGCGAGGTTACTTAGCCAGACCTTCAGGTCCAGCTAGACCTCCCAATCCAACCATCAGCAACATCATGACCTTGACCCCATACTCGAGTATTATGATTGATTGTTCAAGCCTGTTCCAACAGGCCGGGCATTAACAGAGCATTAGCTTTGACTACGGGTCATTTCAGCCAGAGCCAGATCGAGCTTCGCAAACGCATGATACTCGGGAGAATTTTTGCGGTTTGGAGGCAAGTTTAAAGAATCGCTGGCGTACCTCATGAGCGCACGACAGGCAATAGAGCAATACAAGGACCTGATCTTCGCAGGAGATCTCCGCAACCTTGTCTGTGACCTTGCCGACGTGCTACGAGACCTTGACAAGCCTGTCTCTGCGGAACAATATCTGCGCAAAGAAACCGATCGGCAGGACCCGAATCGTGAGGAGTTTGGTCTGGACCAAGAATAACTTTCCAGATGGTTGGTTTGCTGCGAACGTCGACATGGAGGAGAGGCTTTTCGAGCCTGGTCCTTCTGAGTGGCCTAAAAATGCCCTATTGGCCTTGTTGGTGCACCGCCACCTCCCTGAACGCCACGGTGGCTTGCGCGCCATTCAACAAGACTCGCTTTGCGGGCGGCTTCAAAGTCTGGATCCAAGTTAAGCACCCCGGCTTCTTGCTGGTCCTCAGCCTCAACCTCTCCCTCGCCTGCGACTAGGCCAATGTCTAACAGCTCTTGTGAAACTGCTTTGACGGCCGCTGAACACGCACATATCCTTCCCTGTTCAGCTTGCTTTCCAGCAGATAATCACCCAGAGGTCCGAAACAGGGCCACTTGGCCCCACGAGTCACCCCCACTGAGCGTCCACGTGGCAATGGAGATCATGGGATTGGTTGGACAACAATCAAAGAAGATGAAACATGATCATGAGCAGGGAGTGGATCGTGAACAGAAGCTGAATTACAGGTTGGGACTGAATTGTAAGCAGCACGTAAAAGGAGCTTGGCGTCCCAGCTTGGGGTTTCCTAGCTTCCAACATGTACGTAAATGAGTGGTTATGAGTGATTCATAGCCAGCCTCGGTTTTATCCGCACGTATCACCCTCCAAAATTGCAGAAGCTCTTCCCACTGAGATCATAGCAGCGGCCTGCTCAGCGAAGGCATACACGGATGCCGTGAAGGCACCCATCGCAATTGGGGTAACCGAGGCATCAGCTATGCATCAGCCACGCATCAGTCGTGCATCACCACCACCTCATAGTCGTTAACGCGGCCATTGGTCGACCTGTCTTCCTCGTGACTGCTTCAAAGAAGACATCGAAGGGGCTTTTTGTTGCGTGGTCAGTTGACCCACTTAGGCTGGCATATTGCCCACATCCACTGCAGCTGCGCACCACCTCCAGACCTTTAACAACAATAACACCAATACAGCAGATATGCAACCCTTTGGCCTTCTTGCTGTAAAACGGTAGGCGAATCATCCGGCGCCCTGGCTCATGGCATATCGAACATTGACCAGCCACGGGCCCTTGCACGTCAGAACATTCTTGATCCCGGCTATAATTAGGGTAGAGGTCAAGATGCATCTGCATGAGTTGGCAGAGGACGGGCAAAGAACTTGGTTTGGACTGCGAGGATACATAGCCAGCCACCTTTACCAGGTCCTAATTCTCCCGAAAGAGTCACAGTTCTTTGAAGAGCCTTTTCTTTTCTGATCTGAGTTGTTTGATATGGATGTTGGCATACGCTAATCTGCCTTCGAGGAGATCGACAGCTGAATCCAACCGGCGGTTGTCATGCTGGAGACTCTCGTTGCGACGTTGGAGCCTTTCGTTGTCATTCTGGAGACACTCGTTGGCACGCTGGAGTCTCTCGTTGTCTTGCGTATCGCGCTGGATATCTTGGGCAATAACATCCAGTTGTTTCTGAGCCTCATTAAAGGTCTGATTGACATTGTCGCAGAACTGTGTGTATAGCCGAGACAAGAAAATAAGTTCTGTATGTGTATTGCCTTGTTTGTATGGGGTAGACACGAGATGGCTGAAGCATTGTGGCTGGAATGTGTGGCTGGATGATTGGGTAGCGTCGATAATCTGATGAGGTTCACCATGATTTCCCTGGCAGTGGATGGGGTTGCCGTGAACCATATTTGGCAAAGAATGGCAATCTAGAAACATATACGGTAGCTGTTGTCATGACTTGCTTTATAAAAAAGGAGGCAGATAAAGAAAATCCTCCTGCAAGCTATGGGTCTAGAATGTAGGCTTGTGCTGCTGAGCGAGATGACCTGTAATATTGTGGCGACACATCCTAGGACTCGAGCAATCCAGGTTATCATGGTGGTGCTACACTCGCGCAGACCATGGCAGATCACGGACTGGATCTGATCTCCGAGCCAGATGACGACGGAAACGTACTGGATCTAGTCTTCTCAGATGTCCCTATGGCCGAAGCTTCGGTCAATGATGCACTCCAGTGCACCTCAGATCACGAGACATTGCGAATAGCCGTTCCAATTCAGGGAGACCTTGACCGGGTCCCCAAAGCCGATCGCCTGTTGATACCGGACGATAAACTACAGGAGCTGGCTGATAATGTCCAAAACAGGATCCACGAGCTCCCCCAGCTGGGTGCATCCCCTGGCCAAGTGGATGTCTTTACGCAGAGCTTGATCGACGTGATCCAAGGCTGCGTCAAAACAGTGGGCAAGAAGCCCCGACAGTCTAAGCCCACTGCTTGGTGGAATGACGAATGCAAAGCAGCAGTTAAGTCATACAGGGCCTTTTCCAAACAGGCCGCAAGCTAAGTAGGGCGGACTTTGGCTCGACGGGACTTTCGTCACGTGATTCGGAAAGCCAGGAAAGAGTACTAACAGACTCTGATCGATTCAGCGACCGAACCAAAGGACCTGTACAGAATCGTTTCCTGGCACAAGCTGTCGGCGGGACTGCGTTCCCTTCCGATAGTCATAGGAGGCCGAACGTTCGAGTCACAAGAGAGCAAGGCGAATGCACTACGTTTAGCCACGCTCGAGCGAAGTACCCCGGACAACGATATCATTGACCCTTGGTCCGCTCAAATCGCACAACCCAATTCACACATCCCCCTCGAATACCACGTCGGACTAGAAGAGGCCGAAGGGTGCACTGTGGGGACCAAGAGCAACTCCCCGGGAGTAGACGCCCTCACGGTACGGATTCTGAAAGCTTGCTGGCCAGTCATCGGGGAACATGTCAGAGCCCTTTTTTAGACCTGTCTACAGATTGGTCACCACCCTAAACCATCTAAAGTAGCTGAAGTGGTGATGATCCCAAAACCAGGTAAGAAAGACTATTCCAACCCCAGGGCCTACAGACCAATATTGCTGCTGTCATGTCTAGGCAAAGGCCTAGAACGACTTATCACGAAAAGAATCGCCTGGTTTGTTATTGGACTCGGAATTCTAGCTCCACAACATTTTGGAGCTCTACCGAAGCGCTCTGCCACCGACTTGGTAGCTGCATGTACATATTATTCCCCGGGGGGCTGGACAGAATATCGACTACCAACATCGTTGATCATGTCGCATGGCTGGGGGGGGGGGGGGGGGGGGGGGGGGGGGGGGGGGGGTCCCGTCCGTGGTGGAATGCAATAGCGCTAGTACATTGGCGATCATGTCTGTTTATTCCTGGCTTGCCGTAAGCGAGGTGATACTGCACCTATCGTATGCCGAATTTACCCCCAAAGCCGACAAATATGGGGGCAGTTGGGAACTAATATCGGGCCGTTCCGTACGGTCGGGTCAGGACTTCCAATGTCTTTGGTCGGCAAGCCGAGATTCATCCACTGGTTGGTTGTATGAGCACCCTTCAACTCGCCTTGCTACGTGTGATTGATCCCATGTAGATCCTTCAGGCCATATGGTCCGAGGCTTATAATGGGCAGGATGCAGTCGAAGAGACTGTAAATGAGAAAACGAGGCTTAGAGTATGAGCAAACTGGTTGTCGCATGGCGAGATCACCCCTTGGCGGCAAAGTGTTTGAATATAATACTCAAGATCTCGATATGGATGCCACTAATAGTGACCATGAGCAGAAGGTACTAAAGGAAATACGGGCACTGCTGAAGACAGACACGGAAACCTCACAATTCTTGCGTCTGAAAGAAAGCGAGAGGTGGCAATGGACCACGTGACTAGTTGGACAGCAGTTAAAGAAGATGAAACCGAATCATGAGTAGAACGTAGACTAATTTTGGCGTCACAGCTTGGTGTTTCCTAGTTTCCGACATGTTCGTAAATGAGTGGTTGCGAGCAACTCATTACCAGCCTTACTTTATCCCATGCATAATTCTTACACCGCGTTACTGCTTCCTGGCCAATGTTTCGTTGCCGCTTGATAGCATCGAAGACGCGCCATCGAACGAGGCATATCCCAGGCTCTTGAACTCATTTCATCCCTTGCCTAATTGCCAGTTGAGAGGCTGTGAGGGCGCCTTTAAAGTGGCTCATAGACACCAAAACGATATAGGATTATGTCAGACATATCACGCTGCAGTAGCTACAAAGGCTCTTGTTTATAATGGCTCGATAATTACACGCGTTCTATATTGAGGCTGTTTTAACGCACTACAACTATATATATCAAGAGCATTCCTTATTTAACTCTTGTTTAAAGTTGGGATACTAATTTTCCTACTATTTGAAGTCTTGTTTGCTTCCCGGCTGTCACGAAGCCGATACCTTCGGCAGCGACCATGCAAAATTCTGGCGGTTATTATTACCCGCAGCCATTACTTGACACATTGTTAGATACAATCCGTCGCCAGTGGCAAGACAAAGAAGCATAGATTAAGAGAACAGTCCATGTCAACTCTGCTCTCTCTGATCAATATCAGAATTTGCGACGAGAGAACCAGAACCTCAAACAGAATCTCCAGGATTTAAAAAGATATATCGCATATTCCGGCATCCACATCGCAACACCAACGATCGAATCGAATATACCACCACCCAGGGACTGTTCTGGTTTGGTCAACAAAGATTTGCATACAGAAGAAATTGCATGTGCGATTTGCCATGATCCCGTGCGGTTGGTTATCCAGCTTCCTTGCGATCCTCATTCCAACGCACCTTTCGGCACCCTCTGCCTTAGAACATGGCTTTTATCCCAGAAAAGTACATGTCCAATGTGCCGGGTTGAGATCCCTGAGGCTTGGGTCCAGAAATTCTTGGCATCATTTACCATGACTCTATCCTTCCACGAGAAGGATCCCCACGTGTCTGGTTAGGTCATTATGAACATGGTACGCATGAACGCTTTGGGCACACAGACTCGAATGATCACTGCAACTGTGGTGAAAAGAAAACACCACAACACATTTTCTTTTGTAAGAGGCTGGGGAAAAATCGGCTACTGCCTAGGCATTCGCCTAGGGCAGCTTGTTTACAATACTTAGGGAAGAGGAGCACAGAATGGGCAAAATTCGTG